TATTGATATTCCAATTGACTATCAACCAATGATAGTCAATTAGATATACAAAATCAGAGTGAAGTAAACCTAGGTCAACTATACAAAAAGGCATAAATGATCCTAACTCTACTAAAGAGATGAATTGGAAGATCATCTTCCATATACAACAAGATCTACACCTAGAATTGTGCAGAAAATCCCTAAGGAGTGTGACAAAAACCATGTGATTAGGGAGGGAACTATCTTCAACTTTGATTTGACATTGGGGCCAAAGAAAGACAAATTGAAGATAGTTGACAAAAAAGCCCAAAATGCTGGGCGTATGTGTTAATGTTTGTTATTGCTGACAGAAGAGGGTAATCATTGGCCTGTTTCTTGCATCCAGTGAAGCTTGAAGCACACAATTGGTACTTGTTGAATGTAGATGCTGAAACTTATGCAGAATGTGATTCTGTGCTGGTGATAACTTATGACAGAACTGAGCAACTGAGCTAGGTCTGGGCTCTTATAAATGTGCTGCTGAAACTCTATGCAGGTGCTGATTTGCATGAGCTGCACCATTAAGGATGGAAGCTGAAGAAACAGCTACTGATATCTTGGGATTCCTGCTGTCAGAGCTGCCCCATGAGGAGCTTCCATGGTGTTTCTACTACTGTGTTTGTAGCTGAAGGTGAGCATGTGTTGGCTCCTGTCTAGCAAGAAAGGTGTGACAGTCCCTCAAAAATTGACACAATTGTAGGATATTGAGCATTTGAAATGCTAATACCACTTCTTGCAATTGAGTCAATCTATTGAGTCTATCCTAGGTACTTGCAAAAAGAAACAAACAGATTAGAGCAAAGACTTTGCACCTAGGTTCTTGTGTATACTGGGAGCAATGATGGAAAACATGTTGTGAGGATCATGGACATTCAATGGAAGTATGAAATGAAGTGGTAAGAGGTGTTGGTTTGAAAAAATGAGGGTGTGAGATAGTCCAGTGAAGGAAGGAAATCTGGGTGGATTTTTTGGGATTGTTGGTGAGCAGTTGTTAGGAGAAAACCTTTTGCTCCCAGGTTATTGTGTTTTCTGGGTGCATTGAGGGATGTTGGACTGTGATTGCTGAGGAATTGCTAGAAGTGTTGTATTGTTAGCACAACAGGTGCTTTGGTTCTGTAGAAAATAGGGCAGTGATGCTGGTTATTGAGTGACTTGGCTGTGGGGAAGTGACTGCAAGGAGATAAGTTGTAGCATGAGAAACTGGGCTCTTGCCGAGTTGTTTTGCTATGGAAATGTGTTTTTGTAGTAAAAATTGCTATTTCTTTTTCTGCCCTGGTGGATGGTTTGTTGGGCATCTGTGAGTTGGTGCCAGTCCTTGAAAGACTGTGATATGAGACTACAAGTGTTATGTGGGCTCATCTGTAGGTATGTGTGAAGAAATGTCCACCTGAGCTACTGGTGGTGATTGCTTTAGCAACTGTAACCACTGATTGATCCAATTGATATGCTTCCAAGAGAATGAACATCTTATATTCTAATTCCACACTCTGGAAGTGTATCAATCAGATAACCAGTAAGGAGTGCATGATTCCTGCAAAAAAAACAGAGTTAGAGAAAAATAGGACATTTCTGCCCAGTTTTTTGGTTTTGTGTTTTTATGAGGCTCAGGTGTGTTTGCAATTGGTTATTGGGCTATAGAGAAGTGAAGTCTATTCCTAGGTTCTTGTGTGCACTAGGAACATTGATGAAAAGAGGGAATAAAATGAAGGTTGGCCTACATTTTGAGGGTATGGACTGCATTTCTATCAATGTTTTCCTGCCTTTTTTCTCTATAGGTTGGGAAATTGGTGTTGTGTTTTTTGTGTTCATAGTTGCAGTGTGTGTGTGTGTGTGTGTAGAGATCTGCCTCAGTTCATTGATCAATCCTCAGGAGATTGAACATCATTGCTGTTAATACCACACTCTGAGGAGAGGCCAGAAGTCTATGCAGTCCCAAAGTGATGGTACCTGCAAAAAAGAAAATGAGGTTAGCACGGATATAGATTTCCCCCATCTGTTGCCTTGTGTTATTTATTTAAACTGATAATTATGCTCCCATTTCTAAGGCAACATCAACCATAACCATGAGATGAAGCAGAGGAATTTGCATGTTGTGGAGGTACCCAGATTCTGCTGATTTTTTTGTGCCTAAAAGCAGGAGTACCCAAGTAGTCTAGCATGATTTGCCCTCTAATGTGAGTTGGGAGAGCAGAAGCATTATTGAACTCAGTCAATGAGGTAAGTTCATGATGGAGATTTGACAATGAATCAGCAGGACAATTTGCTTCTCTATACACATGAGAAGCTCTGAAATCTACACATTGGTTGCACATGTTCTTCAACTGTGATACCTTCATGTTCAATGCCCAAGGGAGGTCATTATCTTTAGTCAACCATTTGATCAAAAGTGCTGAATCTGCTTCTAATTAAATTCTGGTGAATCCATTAACCAAACACCACTGAAGGCCTATTCTTGCTGCTTCAGTTTCTGCATAGTTGTTGGTGCCCTCCCCTAGTGGAATGGCCATGGCATTAATGAACTGCCCCTGGTGATTTCTGATTATAACTCCAGCTCCTATCTTTCCTGGATTAGTCAGTGCACTCCCATCTGAATTTATTTTGATAAACTAGTGTCAGGTCTGTTCCAAACAACCTGAGTTGAGGTAGTGTGGTGCTGGAGCTTTTCAATAAAAGGATAAAGCTCCCCCCAGTTGAAGGGCCAGTTAACATCAGTGTAGTTGGATCTCAGCAGAAGATTGATGTCTGAATTAATTGAATAAAGGACCCTGGTCAAAGAAGTGTTTCTTGCTCCATACTTGGCATTGCACCTATTTTTCCACAAGTTCCAACATATAATAATGGGGATGGTGTCTAACATGAGCTTTTGAACAATGTTATGACTCTTCTCCAACTACCATTTCATCAGAAGAAGCCTAAGGGACATGCTCTCAGTGTGGATACCAACTTGACCTCCACATTTCTTCCAGATATTTTTGCAAAGTTGCCTGTGCTGAAGAGGTGATCAACTGTTTCATTAGCATGCATTGAACAATACATCTTGAAACAATTGGGCTGCTAAAAGGAAGAACTCTGTCATCAGTGGGGAGCTTATTCCTAAGGACTCTTTATAAGAAGAATGACCATTTGAAGGGGATCTTCTTGTGCCAGATCATTTTGTTGGTGAAGTTGGGGGTTTCCTGTTCCTTATGAGCTCTCATGCAGTAGCACATGTGAATTTACCATTGATAGTAGGAGTCCAAATAGGCTTATCAGGAAGGTCATGGTCTCACGGAACTTGTGAGCTGGGGCTATTTCATTCAGCTTTTGAAGGTTCCAATGACCTTCATTCCAAAACTGGGAGACTGGAATTCTGCCTAGCCTTCCTCCTTCTTTTCTGCTGTTGGCCAAAGGCCTTGAGCCCAACCAATTATCCCACCAAAAGCTGCAGCTTCCATTATGTAGCCTCTAGTGAATAAATTTCTCAGCTTTTTTTTGGTTGAACATTAGCCTTTTCCAAGCTTCAGATTGGCATGAGTCCCACTTTTTAGATATGGAAGTAGATCTTTGACAGTATTTTGCATTTAGAAATAAGCTCCAAAGAGAGTGCACAGTCCTAAAATGCCACTATTGCTTGATCTCCATAGCTTTGCAGGTGTCCTGAATAGTTCTGAAGCCAATACCACCCTCATCGATAGGCAGGGATAGTTTTGACCAAGATGCCTAATGATATTTGTGTTTGTCTTTATCCATACTCCAAAAGAAATTAGCAGCCAACTTTCAATCTATTTCATCACAATTTTAGGAGGAGACACAACTGAGAGCAGGTGAATTGGTAGGGACTGAAGAACATATTTGATCAAGGTTGCCCTTCCACCATATGATAGCATTTTACCATGCCAACCTTTGATTCTTCCTACCACTTTAGAAATAAGGCCATTAAAATGCATGATCCTGATTTTGACAGTGTACAAAGGACATCCCAGGTATGTTAGAGGTGACTCTTTTTTGGAGAAGCCTGTTTCTTCATAGATTCTTCTGACAGTAGCTTGCAAAGCAGAGGTGGCAGTCATGAAATAGCTTTTGTTTCTATTAATGAGTTGGTCTGAAGTGTCCTCATAGCTATTGAGGACCCACATGATCTTTCTAAGAGAGGTTCTTTTGCCAGAAGTGAAGATGATTATGTTATCTGCAAAGCTCAGGTGATTAATCTGTGGGCCTCTCCTCTCCATGTAAAAACCATTAAACAGTTGGTCGTGATTCAAATTGTTAAGCATTCTTGAGAGGAGTTCTGCTGCTATGATGAATAAAGGAGGAGCAAGAGGGTCACCTTGTTTGAGTCCCCTGGTAGATTGGAAGAAACCACATCTTGTACCATTGACCACAACTGAATACCAATTATTGGACATTTTCTCCTGATCATGTCATTGACAATTTCATTAAATCTTATCCTTATGAGCATTAGGCCACTAAAGCTCTAGAATACTCTGCCATATGCCTTTGCCATATCAAGCTTGATGACCACATTAGAGCCCCCATTTGGTTTCTTAATGCCATGCACAATTCCTGAGCAAGCATAATATTCTTGAGGGTGGCATTATCTTAATTGGTAATCATTTTTGGGATGGTGGATAGAAAGTCCTCTCTGATGATTGAACCAGAACCAGAGAAAAGGTTTTGGAAATAGTCATAGGTAGCCTCTCCAATATTCTCATCAGCCTAGATCCATTCACATTCCTCATTCTTGATTTTGTGAATAAACAGTTTCTTCATCCTTCCTCTAATTAGACTGTGAAAGTATCTAGAGTTTGCATCACCTTCCTTGATCCATTGCAGTTATGTTTTCACTTCAAAACATCCTGTTCAACCTTCAGATATCTAACATATTGGGCCTTCAGTTCATTGAGTTCTGTTCTGTCAAAGTCCTCATTTGTTTGAGCCCAGGTTGTTTATGCATTTTTTACCTTCTGTTCAAACTCCTTAGCCTTCTAAAATATATCTTCTTATTCTTGTCTAGACCAATGGCTAAGAGGATGACTGAGAGTTTTCAACTTCTGATGAAATTTCCACATAACATTCCCTTCAACTTTCCTGTTACACACTTTTGAGACTAGTGGAAGGAAGCCTGGATTATCCACCCAGCAGTTAAGGAATTTGAAATATTTCTTGCCATTGTCCTGCTTAATATGTAGTTCCAATAACATGGGATTGTGGTTTGATCCTGCTGAAGCCAAATGAGAGACAGTAACAGCAGGAAAGGTTTCTAACCATTGATCATTGGCAAGGCCTCTGTCAAGTCTTTTCCACATAATAGAACACTGCCCCCTTCCATTAGACCATGTGTATTTGGGACCATAATAGCCAAGGTCCACAAGTCCACAGTCTTTGGTCATGCTCAGAAATTCAATACTTTTGGACATTTGATATGGAATGCCACCAATCTTTTCTTCTACTGAAGCAATGACATTGAAGTCACCTATGACACACCATGGAACATTGCAGCTGGATGATTTTTGATTCAAAACTTCCCAGAGGGGTCTTCTGAGTAGAGGTTTGCACTTAGCATAGATGATTGTTAGGTGAAACATCTTTCCATTTTCAGTATGTGTCATTTCCAATGATAGTTGTTGTTCATAATGATCTAGGACTGTAGCAGTGAATTCTTTATTCCAGAAAACCCAAATTTTATTATTGATGTTAGAGGAAGCTTGATGCATGGAAAGTTGGATTTTGAAGGAGTTGATGTGAGTGTTGTCTAAGAAAGGTTCAAGGACAATAATGAAAGAGAGTTGATGGATTTATTTTAGGATCTTGAGCCTTTCAATGGCTCCAGAGGTCCCAATGCCTCTTACATTCCAAATAATTGTACTAATCATTAAGAATGGGAGGGGGATTTATGGCTTGGTGGGACACTATTGCTTCTAGCAACTCTACTTCTAGTGATTTTTAGGGTGGGTTTCATTTTGGTTGTGGATCTTTGGGATGTTCTGGTTTCCTGAGCTGAAGCTCCATTGATAGCAGTTACCAAGAGATCACAATGGTGCTCTTCCTCAGCTTCATCACTGAGCTCTACTTCTTCATCAAATTCCCCAAACATCTCATCTTCTGAGTTGATTGGTCTGTACTCATCACCCTGAGGAGAATATCTATTGAGTGGACATTCCTCAAGCACAGGTTCTAATGGATGTATTTGATGATTTTCAGAGACCTTGACTGTAACAGGAGGGACTTCTATTCCCTCTTCAACAATAGAAATTTTTTCAGTATCACTGACTCCATTTTCACTGATCTCATTGGGATCTAATAGGGGTTGTATGAGAATAGGATCAATAACAGGAGCTTTATACAACTTTGACTTGATAATAGATCCTTGACTTGGAGTCCATCTTGGTTTGGAGGTGGGGCTTTTAGAGAGGGGGGTGGGGATATCAGGAGGTTCATTTATGCTGATCCCTGTATTTTGTTTCCTCATTGGTTTCCTTCTCTTTTGGCTAGGTTTATTTTTTGGTTTAGGAGAGTGTATATTAAAATCGGCAGAGGCATAAGCTTTTCCTTTCAATAGTCTCCCGACCTGATCATCTTCCTGAGTTGGTAATTCCTCTTCAAAACTAATAATTTCACAATGCTCCACTTCATCAGAGGATTGATAAACATTTTGAGTTTCAGAACTGGGAACAGTGGTGGTAGGGGATAGACAGTCCAACCTATGGTCAGCCAATTGTGCTTCAGCACACTCGTGCAAAACATGAGGAATCCCCACCCCTGATGGATCCCCTTTCTGAATTTTTAAAGGTTTCTCTTGACATTTCTCCTTCCCTCATTGAACTTCTTTAGAAATAACAGAGGGGGGATGGTATTGGGATACATGATTCTAGACCCCAGAATCATTCACAGCTGTATTATGAGAAACAGACTGAGAGCTAGGGGTTATATCTGAATGCTTGTTGGTGTTGACCTACTGAACATTTGTACCAATAGCTGATTGGCTTGCCTGTTGTCTTGTCAGGTATGTATGCTGCTATTTCTTATTTTGTGAATTACCTTTGAAAGTTTTTTTCCTTTGTGTTTGCCAGTCATCTTTTGGTAGAGCTGTTCCTTCACTTTGGTGTTGCTTTTCATTTTGGTTTTTTGCTTCCTTTGAGTTGTCAGTTTGATCTTGTTCACCCTTTTTTGTTTTTTCCTGTTGTTTATTGTTCTGATGCTGTTTACTTGTTTTTGGGTTTTTTGCGGATTTCTGTTGAGTATTGGATTGTGAGGTTGTTTCTGCAGCTTTCTCCTCCTTTTTTCTCTGGATTTCAATATCCCTATGCCTGATTAGACATGCCTGCACTGAGTGGCCTATGTGTCTGCAGTGAATACAATAGGAGGGAAGGTTGTCATATTGAACTTCAAGCTAATGGCCATCACCATTCATATCCTGATCTTCATCATACCCTAACCAGACATGAGTTGACCTTTCTTTGGTGAGGTCAATCTGCATTTTTACTTTGACCACACTGCCCCTAGTCTTCTGAAAAGAAGCTAGGTCTAGGAAGAGGGATTTTCCAATTTGGGATAATAAGGGAGTGAGTATATCCATGTAGTAGAGGTGCCATGGTAGTTCAGGGATCATAATCCAGATTGGGACAATGGGAGAATCTTCATTGGGCTTGAAGATAGGATTCCATGCTTCTATTCTCATCATTTGCCCCTGAATATACATGTGTTGTTTGGACCAAACTGTGGAGGGATCATATTCATTATCAAGGTCAATATACACAGTTTCTGCATTAAAATGGGCTATCTTAACCCCACCCCTGAGTTCAGTTTGAGCAATAAAGCTCTTCCTAATGACTTCCATTCTTGGCATAATGTGTTAAAATTTTCCAACAACTGTGAACTTACACATATCAGCAAATTTAACCCTGTAATCTTCTCTTTTAAAGATCACTGCAGGTTTACCTTGCTGGGTGGTGATGACAAGAGTTGTGAACTTTAATGGTGCAATCTCAGCTTCATGCCTTGCCCTTAACCTTATGACATATGATTGAGTGACAGTTGGAGGTGGAGGTAGTGAAGGATTGTTTGATATTTTGGCATTATTGGAGTTACTAAGTGTAGGAGGAG